CCTCGCATGACAATGCATATAATAATATAATGGAACCCCATAAAATGCCATATCTTCCCCAACCCAAGGATGAAATAAAGAATGTTTTGAGTACCTAAAATGGTACATACAGATACAGGTCTAAGTGTGTAACTAAATAGTCATAGTAGAGTAGCTATCACTATTTCTTGTTGATTGACCAAAGAAAAGATTGTGTGGCTACCCGGAGTGCAACAAGCTACTAAGCAAAGCAACCACCAACCCAATTTCACTGTCACACTACTCTCTCTCTCTCTCTCTGTGTATCATCACATATTATTCACTGTGATGATGGATTTATTATTTCCTCCTCCTTAGATCTCCCTGCCAGCCAGCCATGTCATCATCTCCCTCTTCCTTTGTTTCCTCTCCAATACAATCAAACATGGCTTTGTTTCATCCCTTTCTTTCTCATTCCACGTCTCTCCACCACCTCCCCCCAACTCCCAGGCAACCACAGCCACTCAAACTGCTCTTATCTCTCTCCTCCCCACCCCACCCTCTGAGACCCTTAATTCCAACAAGAAAGCAGCTAAGCACCATCAAGTGTAGTGCAGTTGCAGACATCAAACCTCCTGCTCCCCCACTTGATGAACATCAGGAGGAGGAGGAGGATCACAAGGTCTTGGTGGGTCCCACCAGCGAGGCCGAGAGGAGAGGAGAGAGGGTCGTGGCGGACTATGATTGGACAGAGGAATGGTACCCTCTGTACCTCACCCAGGACATTCCGGACGATGCACCTTTGGGCTTGACTGTGTTTGATAAGCAACTTGTGCTGTACAGGGACGGCAGTGGAGAGCTCCAGTGCTACCAAGATCGCTGCCCCCACAGGTAAACCTATCTTTGCCTGTAGATTCTTCTATATAGCATGGAAATATTTATAGTTGCTTTAGAATTAGAATTTTATTTTTGGATGAAATCTTTGCCATATTGAACTTCAAATTGTACCTACGATCTTCTTGCTTTGGCTATATATAACTAATGAAAATAAAACTTGGGTCATGACATGACAATCCAATCTTAGCTAGGTTGGCGAAACTATCCGAAGGCCAGTTGATTGATGGAAGACTAGAATGTTTATATCACGGTTGGCAATTTGAAGCCCAAGGAAAATGTGTAAAGATCCCTCAGGTCTGTCGGTCTGTCAGTCTTTTGATTAATTAAGATTGTTAATGATGTTGAATGTCTCTTTAATTGTATCTGTAATATCACAGCTTCCAGCTGATGCCAAAATTCCTAAATCAGCTTGTTTGAAGACATATGAGGTGAGGGACTCACAAGGGGTTGTGTGGGTTTGGATGTCTCAGAAGACACCACCAAACCCTTCAAAGATACCTTGGTTTGAGAACTTCGCTCGGCCAGGGTTTCAAGATACTTCTACAACCCATGAGCTCCCTTATGACCACTCTATACTTCTGGAGAATCTCATGGATCCTGCCCATGTTCCAATCTCACATGACAGGACAGACTGGAGTGCAAAAAGGGAAGATGCTCAACCGCTGCGCTTTGAGGTCACCGAGCGCAGCGATAGAGGATTCGCAGGCTGGTGGGGCAAGACAAGTGATCCATCAGCCAAAAGCTTCTTAAGGTTTGAAGCACCATGTTCTCTTCAAAACAATAGAGAAATTGTTGACAAGGATGGGGAGAAGCACTACTTCTCGGGTCTATTTCTCTGTAGGCCAACTGGACAGGGGAAATCGATGCTTATTGTGAGATTTGGTGGAACAAAAAGGTCTCCACTGGCAAAATTGTTTCCCATATGGTATTTTCATCAGAATGCAGGCAAGGTCTTTGAGCAAGATATGGGATTTCTTTCATCTCAAAATGAGGTACTCATGAAAGAAAAAGTACCCACCAAAGAGTTGTACCTTAACTTGAAATCATCAGATACATGGGTTGCTGAATACAGAAGATGGATGGACAAAGTTGGGCATGGGATGCCTTACCATTTTGGGCACAGCACAATATTCTTGCCCAAAGAGCCTGCTGTGGTGGAGCATGCGCCGGCAGGCTTTGTTGCCGGTGTTTCTGCATCCTTGCCAGCAAAGGGAGGGATTGGATCCATGCATGCTCCCAATTTGGCCAACCGGTATTTTCGACACGTGGTTCATTGCAAAATCTGCAGAAATGTTGTCAAAGCTTTCCAAGCATGGCAAAAGGCCCTTACTGCTATTGCTGTTGCATCGACTGCATTGGCAATTCTAGTCTCAGGAAGGCAGTGGAAGGCCCTGCTATTAATATCTGCAGCAATAAGCTCAGCTGGGGTTTATGCATGCTCGGCTGCTATTGCTTTGAACACAACAAACTTCATTAGGACCCATAGGAGATTGTGAGCCATCGATTTCAGGCCGAGAAGACGATGTAGATTCCGTTGCCTGTGTTTTTTTCATACGTTTAGATTCTCATTGGAAGCTTGAAATCGCTCATTTGTTGTGGATTTCCCTACTCTCTTTTCCTTTTCCTTCATTTTCAGTGGCTTAGAACAAGGCTCGTTTCTTCTTTTCTGTGAACAATAAAGCTTCGTTTATTTTGTAGACAATTACTACTTTAGTGAGCATTAGAATTTATAACTTTTTTCTAGACGAATTTCTTTGATGTTAAACTTATCTGACAGAATCTCGCACATCTCAATTGCAAAATGTTTTTTAAAAGTGACTTGTGTAGACTGCCACATTTAGTTGTTTTATTAGGAAAAAAGTAGAGATAAACACAGGGACAAATGTAGCAAAGAAAAAGTTGGGTGCTCAAGAACTATTTACTTTGCAATGATCCTAATAGAGATAGACGGTACAATTGAAAGTTTGGGAAATACATCAAAACTCCCCTAGGCATATATATATATAACTAATATAAGTCTGCTATTTTGAAATAATTTTTTTTTATCTTTAATCGTACAACTTTAAAGCTTCCATATGCAGAAAGCATACGGGAGAAGAAAAAATACTGTACAACCTGGAAATCAGTATGGTAATCATCTAAATGGCCAGTAAATATTGGATAAAATGCCTGGCTTTTCTCATTGAAATGATCTTCAAGCTGTGGACTTAGTCATGGATGGCATGGGAAACGGACGGTATGAAACTTGGCCCATCTCACTGCCGGCTGTCGTGTGTAGATGGGCTGAAGTCCTTGGAATCCTTGGCAGTCCAATGGAAGCATCAGTGCCCAAATTTGAAGTTTGGGATGAGACATCAAAGTCAACCTTCTCGAGTGCCTAGAAGAAACAAATAGTTAAAAGTTATCCCTCAAAACCAACAAGAACTTTTTCCTTTTTTTAAGGAACGAGAATTTCTACAAGATGACCAAGGATTTTGTTTCATGATGTTCAACCAATACCAATCAAACAAACTCAAGAACTGATTACTTAACGAGCTTTCATGATATTGTTCACATCACTGAGGAACTACTTACTGTCAAAAACGTTAAAAAAAACTACCTGAACAGATTGCTCCAAAACCTTGAATAATTCTTGGTTACGTTTTCTTTGTGAAACATGTGCATCGTGCTCCTGCAGCAGTTCTTCAAACAGGTTCTCTCTGCATAATTACCAGAATAATATAAAAAAACCACTCTTGAAGTTTTCAATCAACCACGTGTAGCAATTTCTGAATCATGTTCTTAGCACGAAACCAACATAAACAAATTTATGCAGGATATAGAGTATTTCACAGAAGTCCTGTCCGTAATGTAGTGCTATTCTTTGTGTCACAAATGCAGTCCTTGTCTTTCAAATAATCATAATAAAGAATTAAATTGCCTTATTAATCAGACAATGACTATTATTTGAAGCCCAAAGGAAATATGGACAGTTTCAGAAACAAGAATGTTAGTTAATGGCTCAAAAAAGAAAAAGAACTACGTGGTCCCCTTTTTGAACAACAGACATACCTGTACAGTTTTTGAATAAAGGTCCTATGAAGGTTCCGTTTTGTAAGATTGACCTAAGCCACGTTAAGAATGATACGAATCAATGGACTTCATAGAAGTTGAAAAGAAAAAAAACCAAAGGAAGCTTGATGCAGCAGAGAAGAAAACCAGCAATAGTACAAGAGATAAAAATTACACCAGTATAAATGCGAACATATGGACAAAAGGAAGAAAATAGGTATACCAGAAAGTGCATTATAGCTTTTGGAACTAGGTCTTGAATGTTCTTTCTAACAATGTCATAATACGACCGCAAGAGTAATTTGGTTACAATAATTTCCACTGCTTTATTCTCTGTCATTTGAACCGGCCTTAAGCTGGATGGTGGCTGAAAATAAGGACAAGGAAAAAAAGGGAAGACACATTTAAATCCTAGAATGAAGAAATGGATAACATAATAATAAGTTGAGAAGAAGAAATAAAATTCTGTCAACCACATATTACCTCTCTCAAATGGATTATAGAGGGCACTGACTCCGAATGACTTGGTTCACCAAAAGGTCTGCAAGCCATAGACTCTCCAGCTGATGTCCTACTTCCGAATAGAGATGGAATCCAAGCCTTAGTTCCTAAATTTCAAATGCCAAATTTATTATAGCAACGGCAGACTTAACAGATAGCCATACCATCCTATATCTATGCACAAGAAATATTTTATAAATAAATAAATAAAGCAAGTTCAATATCCTGAAGGTATAGAAGTTAGTATGCTTCAAAATAGTGCACGCATGAGTTTACCAGAAGATACATGATTCTCGTTATTAGGCTGAGGACGACTCCCCTGCCAACACCAAAACTATATTAGATTGAAGACATCCTATGAAAGAAAAATGAAAAGCCAGAAGTAGTGAGGCCCTCCAAACTAGTTAGTTCACAAATCTAAGTTTATGCCCAGTCACTTGGATTCACATTTTAACTTTAAGCTAACGAGATCTGATTTAGGGCTCATTTGGGACTGCTTCTCTAGGAAGCACTTTTGTTAATAAGCGCTTCTAGCAAAAGCACTTTGTTATAAAAATATTGAAATTTTCATAAGAAATCCACGTGCTTCCTGGAAAAGCACTTGGGAGTGCTTCATAAAGAAGCACATAGCGGGTGCTTCTCCAAAAAGCACTTCTATGACCCATAAGCACTTCTAAACTTTTCTGCTAAACGTTGTCAGAAGCACTTTTGGTTGTTAGAAAGCGCTTTTACCCCTCCCCGAAGCACTCCCAAACATGCCCTTAAAAGGAAAACATTAGCCTTAACCACAAAGACTTTGCTTGATAAATAATCCAAATCTGACATTTTTCAGCGTAGAGAAAGAGCTAGATTAGACTAGATGCCAAAGAAATATACGAGAACCTCCAAGTTCTTAGGGGTTGCACTTTGTCCTGCTCCGGTGAGGAAATCTTCTCTCTTATAGATTCTGGTTTTTTCCCTTTTAACTTGCAACTCTGCCAATTTTCTCTCTTTCCCCTTTCTTTTTGTTCTGACTAACCAATTTCCTTCTGAAAATATCATCAGTAGTCCAACATATGGTGAAAGAAATACCTGGTTAGGTAAAAGTCCATTCAAAAGCCCAGACCGAATAGTTCGAGCTGTCTGGGAAGTCTGGGAAGTCTGGGAAGTCTGGGAAGTCTGACCTTCAGCATCTGTAACGCCCTGAAACATATGAAGAACAACTTTGAGGTATAACCGTATAATTGACAAACCATTTTATTATGAGAACTAATGATAATTGGGTTGAATAAGAGTGCAAAGACAGAATAAATAATCCAATATGCAACTTCTCTAAATGCTGATGATGAAGATCACAGAGAAAAACTCGATGAGAATGAAGATTCAAAACTCACTTTTTTTTGTTTGTATAAGCATATATCATAATAAGAACGAACAATACACTCAACAGAGATCTGCTTACAGCATAAAAAAGAAAATAAAACACCACCACTGTACAATTCCTTTTCTGATCTTTCAGATTATAAGATCAAATCTGAATTTTAAACTTCAAAATTGACTTCTTAATAAAATTAATTAGGACTTATGTAACAAAAAACATAGGACTGACAGAGAAAAAGAACCAAAGGTACACGACATTATGTTGTTATGAACCTAACAAGTTGGCAGGATGCTGCATCATGTCCAAAGTAGAAATAATTACTTTTTGAGCTATTTCACTTAAACAATATCATTATATCACCAACATGGTAGCAGATACCTGTGGTGATTTCAACAGCTGCATAGCAAGCTCGGCAGCTTTGTTCCCACCTAAAAAATTTGGATGTGAAGTGTTTATATAATCCACCTGAATGAAAGAAAGTTGATCGATCAGCCTAGGAATAAAAACAACATTAGAGTAAATGTAAAAGAATAATAGCATGCCATGTAAAGTTGAGCAATAATTTAAAAGAAGACATATATACCCAGTCAGTATAGAGATCAGTACTGGACATTGTGTGTGACATGACCAACAGATCAAAAGATTTATCACTTTCATTTCAACAATGTCAAGTTAAACAAACCATCTATGTTAAGAGCCATCCAGAAGCTAAACAAAAATAGAAGTTAATAAGAACTAGATAACATAAACTGGAGGTATCAGCTAAAGCCAAATTACTTTTTATGACAAGATTACAATTTTTTATCAAAGTGTTGAGGAAGGTTGACTCTGTCTGATTTACCAGTTACAACTGCCAACTCATTTTGATTAGATTTTAGTATATTCCAGTATTTAAACAGAATTTTGAGACTCTTTGAAACAAATTTAAAAATACAAGCATACATGCAACAATGTCCTAGATCTTAATTCTGAGTGAATAAACTATAGTGGTAATAAGGTTAACAGAGAGATACCTCCATCTCAATAAGATTTCCTATCATTCTCTCAGCAGGTTCTACACCATCGCGCAAAAAATTTACCATGACTTCATCCAGATGCTTTCTCAATACTGGAAACCTTTGCAACTCAGTTACCTCACAAGAGTGGCTTATCTGCAGGCAAAATTTTATCTTCCTGATTACATCTACATCTCATGATTCATGGAAACATACAATTAGAACTCCGTAGCATGTGCCTTATTACTCACCTTCATTAGTTCATCATAAACAAATCGAAGACACTGAAGGCTTGGGTCTAACAGACGAGCAATTTGTCTCCTAACTAAAAATTCAAATGGGACCTAAAACCAATTCAGAAACTTATCAGCCAATGCAGTGTAAAATCAAGCCATTAGTTTCTAATATTTAATACAAGGGAAAATGAAAGACTGCAGCATATGTCATCATTACATACTCACCTCAGGCACAAATAAAGCATTTCTTGCACCAGAAGCATTTTGAATAGCCATTCGAATATCATCATCAGTTAGATCATCACAGGGGTCCACTTCCTACAATTCCTGATAGTTAGCAGCCAATCTGATGGCACACATCTTACAGTGTATCATTACTTCAAAATTTTCTTCAAGAAAGAAATTGCATGGTATTTTGACATCAGACAACTAAGCAGAAGACAACAACTGAGGACGTAATAATATATTGCTTCAGATTAAAAGAAAGCAAAAATTTGTACAATTAGCAATGATCATTAAAGGAAATGCACTCTTAATAAAACTATAGTACATTGTACCTCCAAGCACTTTACAAAAATTGACTGCAGGATGTAGTGGATCCTGGCTCCTCCTGACAATTCTTTAGTTGACATCTCCTGACTTTTTCCATCCACCATGGCAGCAAAAGCTGTTAATTAGTGAAACAAAGACAGAGAAGGAGCAAAGCAACATCAGTGAAAACAGCTAAAACTAAAATAACAAGAAACAAGGTAGTATAAACATCTCTCTCTCTCTCTCTCTCTCTCTCTCTCTCTCTCTCTCTCTCTCACACACACACACACATATTTGAGAAAAAGGCACTAATACTAAAAAGATCAATTAAGTGATTCTTTAAGGAATATCAGTTATATAGGTAAAAGAAAGATTGGCATTCAACAGATATAACAGGAAATCAAAATCTCACCTTCACAATATTGCGTTAAAATGTTCAGCAAAATCACTCCCTGTTCCATCTGGTTCAGGACAAGTGATTAAATGCTTAGAAAGAACTAAAAAGTCAATATATTTCCATAAACACCCCTCCCCCTCTCTTTTCTAAAAAATAGGGAGAGAAATTTTTTGAATGTGAATGCATGTGTCTATATATTTCTCAACATACAAGGCCAGAAGCAACATTCATCTGAAGTTTTCAAAATAATAACAACCAATTATTTAACAAGACCTAGTACAATTCTTCCATCCTGGTGCACAGTTAATACTATCTAGCAAAGTAGCTCTAATGATTGGTAGTTAATCAATATATAAAATAAAATTAAAAATTAAAAATTAGAACACAAGTAAAAGGGTTTCCGTCTATAAAACAAAAAAGCACAAGGGTCCCGCCAATGTGTTCTAGAGAGGGAAAAACATACGCAGCCATACCCCGTTTCCACAACTTGAACCCATGAACAACAGGTTGCTTAGGGCTAAGCATACAAGGTTGAACATAAGGAAAAAAAAAAGGATCAAAGTAGTTCAAGAAAAAAACGATGACAAATGTGAATTGGACTTTGACAGAGATTAGTGATTGGATGAAATGCAACAGGCTGACCATATGCAAAGAACCAGTGTTCCCTTACTCCCCATATGCATTAGAAGCACTAGAGAACACCAAGTAGTCTTTGTGATGCAACTTACTTTAGATTCTATAGGTTTTCCATATGTCTGCAGTTCTTTTAAAACAGTATCCATTTTAGAATTCAAATCAGTCTTCAAAGCGGGGAAAACCATTCTGATATGCTGCTCCAGAATCTGACACAGAACATCAGCCATCACACAGTAAGAACAAATGGAGTAAGGAGTAATATAAAAGACAAGAAGCTGAGCACCTAAGAATTCCATTTCTCTTTACAATAACTTTGTTATGACTTATATGGGGCATACCAACCTCATTCAGCTTCCTTGCTAACTGGGGGATGCCGCAATGATCAGAGAGACCCCTGTATACCTTTAACATGTATCGCACACAATAAAGATATTCAGTGGCAAGACAAACAAATAAACAATTGCTCAACATAATATACAAAGAGAGTGAATAGTACTGAGTGATCATTGAAGAATTTCTCCTCGTAAGCAAGTGCGGTAGCAATGCCACGGTTTTTATTGATGTCCTGTGACACAAGAATAAAACTTAAGAATGAAGCCTGACCCTTGCAGACAGCATTTTATTTTACAAGTCCATGAAGGCAACATTACAAATGCTACAAACGAAAGCAAAGTGGAACTTTTCTACTTTAAAAAATGGTTCTCTATGTGCCCACTAATCATTCGAATACCATCAAATGTTTGAGAGCATGATGGCTCAGTACCTTAGTATTACAACAACTGCCAGCAATCGGAAAAGTGGCTAAATCAGAAATATGTGTGCCAAATTGAAAGCTAAAATAGAACCACACTAGGCCTTACACTGCACTTCCAATTAAGCAAGCCACATGCATTTTGCAGCATTGTTTATCCTAGTACTCTTGAAGAAGAAGTTCTATTTCTAACCAATTAAAAGATAATACTAGTTACTCAAATCGTTGAAAAATCCAACAAAGTAGCCAATAAATGTTACCATCCGGTGTCAATTACACTCTTAGTCACCGCCAGGAATAAAGTCAGTTGCAATTTAGTAATTAAAACAAATGGATGTTACAAAATTAACTATTTAAAGTCAGTAGCAATTTGGCAATTAAAACAAATGGGTGCTACTAAATGCACTACATGAACGACTATACCTCCTGGCTACGATTCACAACACCAACATAACCAAGCTTTAGTGGAATAACTTTCCCGAGCAAGAAGCTGCGAGCATCAGTGCCCCTGTCCATTATATCGAGCTACAGATGGAACAACAGTGCTTTATTATACCATAACTGAAGCGTATAATAACAAGAACACAAGAGGAGAAACACAAACCTTGGTGATAACACCAATTGTACGAAAACCTGTTAAGGCATTCATGTCAGCGGTACAGAACAATAGAATCCAACATATGCATTGCATGTAAAAGTTGAATCAAGAAGTAGAATGTGGGTACCAGCTGGGTCGGCTTCTCTTGCCATCTGAAGTGCATCGGAGGTTGCCAAATCAGAATTCGCAGGAGTAACTGCCAATATAATGCAGTTTTGTTGCGAAATATGGGTCATAACCATCTTCCTAATCCTTGCTTCTATATCATTAGGTTGATCTCCAACAGGAACTTTGGTGATGCCGGGCAAATCAACAAGAGTCATATTAAGAACATTTGGAGAGGTAATCTTCAGCCGAATTTGTTTCTCCGAAACCCCTTTGTTCAATCCTGCCTCTCTTTCCGTCTCAGCCTGCAATGAGAAAACAAATTATTGGACTATAAGTGCAAAAATTCTCATAGCCTCTCTACTAACAGCATTGTCAAGAATCTCAAGCTGAATTTCTCAAGCCGTACCTGAATTTCTGCGCGAATTTCAGAGAAGTCGTAGAAGCGCTTTTCAGGCAAGTGGCGAAACTCGCCCCACTCGGTCCGATCATCGCCGGGTTTGGGCAGGCGATTCTCGAGCATCAACACGAGCGGTCTGCGAGTGCAGATATCGCAGCCGCGAGGAAGAAAGTCGCGGCCGACTAGTGCTTCGAGAACGCTCGATTTGCCGCTACTTTGGCTTCCCCCCACCCCCACTTGAGGCCGCGCAACAAC